GTAAAATTGCTTTTCTTTATTGTTTTGTAAGCATTTTTTAATGAAAGGTACTGCTTTTATTATATAGGACTCAAAGTAAGACCTAAATCACTATCCAATAAAAGTATTGAGTTAGACATCTGAAGTTACTACCCAGAGGCTACTCTGGTAGAGTATTTATAAATCTCTAAACAGTTAAGTATAATTATCTTTCTGCTTTTGGGGAAGAACGCAAAATACGATTTTTAGTTAGAACTGAAATTTTTTTTTGTGTTGGGCCCTGTTCATCTGGTGGGTAAAACAACGAGCAAAATTCTCACAGTGTAAGACTGAAAGAAAATACAAGATTCATGAAAAATGAAACAGGAACAGTCACTAAATGCTACTTGAAGAAGAAAGGATGGAAACATCAACAGAATGAAGGAAAGGAGAATTACTGGAGCTCTTCAGGTATAACTGCCATAACTGGTCTTTTCTTTGAAATAATTGATGATAAAATAATCTCACCTTGTATTTGAGGGGACAGAATAAGAATCAGGAAGGATCAAAGGATCAAGGGATAATAAACCAAATCTCCATTACCTAAGAGTGACCTTTTTTCTCCACCACAAACATACCTCTTTACAAACTTTTCTATGAAGACAATCATTCAACAGCTATAAGCAGCACTCCAAGATAAAACCAGGAATTCCTTTGTACAAATAGGACCTCTGACTGAGTCAATGGGTTATTTTTTGAAGAGGCAGGCCAAGCTCCAACTTTAAAGCATTTTGTACCTCAGAAGCTAAGATGTCTTAATGCAAGTAATAGTTTGCTGCAGCTTCAGTGGAATGCACTTTGGCCTTTCTGTCCTTGGAATCTAGGTATCATAAAGGCAACAAAATGCATCGATGAGTTCCAAAACCTCATTTTCAGGACATCAGAGTCTGCACACCAACGTCTAGCAAGTCTAAGGAGTTGCCCAGTCAGCTTTGAAATATTCAATGAAGACAGCCATGAGAATCCTTTCAACATGAAAGCTTTCAAGAACACAGATCTGTTTTGAAAGTTTCATGTTCTTTTTGAGCAGAATTACACATTTTATGGAAAGGAGACCAGGAAATGCTTCCAGAACAGTTAGTAAGCTTTTCCTTCTAAGGAAGGCACCTTGTTTTCATTCACAGATTTGTATAGTTATGCTGTTGTCATGTGTTGCTAGACATAGATTTGACAACATAGACAGTTTACTAGCATCTGCCCTATATACTCCAGGTTCATTTATGGCTCTGGTCCAGAATTTTTTACTTTTTTTCTTTGCCTTGGAACTCTTGAGGGTTTTTTTATTTCTTCGGGAGATCAGGATGCAATTCTGGCAGCATCAGTTAGGGTTCAAGGAGAGCAGACCAGAGTACATACTCTTACAGAAGATCCAGATAATTAATGCTACTGGTCCAAAAGTCTGGGGATATTTTAACACTGTGAGACGTTAGAAAGATTCTGCTCCTGCATGAAAACAGCTGTGTGTGTATTGAGTTCATCTTGAACTAGTAATGAGAAAATCCTTTGTTGATATAAACTAGATTAATTCAGTAGACTTTCAGCAGTTAACTTAATCCATTGGGAATTGGTGGACATACTGTTTTTTTTATCAAGGAGCCTTGCTGTCATATGTCCACCCTCTTGCTTCTTTTACAAGGCCTTTTTTCTCAGTTCCGGGTTCAGTTGCTGGTGCAATGCTATGTCCTTGATTGGAAAAGGCATGTTTGGATGGATACAGAAGGTTCAGTGAAAGAAGACGACTTCAGTGTTAAAGCAGGTGACAAGGGTGAGGCTGTAGTGAAAAGGGAATGAAATCCCAAAATCTTTGGGTTCTTTTTCTGCTACCAACTTAGAACAAAAGTGTTATAGATATGGTCCTGTACTTCAGCACTGGCCAATAACTGTGGCTTATCTGATGGTTAATAAATTTGCATCCTGCTTTCTATGGTGTACTTCTTGTACTAATGTCATATTTTGTCTGATGCTGGAGTGAAATAATTACAGGTAAAATCTGGAAATATACTTGTGCATTCAATAACCTGTGAATTAAATGACTGTATTTTTTTCCTTTTTTTTCAGAGGCATAAACCTAAATGATGTATCACATTTTTATATGATTCCACTGCTTAATGACAATAGAATTATGCTAGCTATTTACTTAGAATAGCAAAGGTAAGATTACACTGTTAATTCACCTTACCAAAAAACTCACAGCTTAGTCCATATGTTTCTCAGGCCGTTCACATATTTTGTTTTGTTTCTTCTCATTTCAACACCCTGTCAAAGGTCAATTGACACTCTTACACACACCCAGATTTTCTAATGTCATTGTTTCCTGTGATCAGTAATAGAAGTCACATAAAAGAACAGCACAGAACAGTCTTTCAAAGGATGGTGGTAGTGAGGAATGTCTGAATTCAAAATCATACATTCACATCTAGAAAAATTCAGACTGGCAATACTTAAGGTTTGTACCAGCTGATGTGTTAAGAATACTGTTATGTCAAATAAGGCAGAAATGTTTAAGCAAAAGTAAAATGACAGCTTGCTCTGTAAATAAAGGTACTTAATTGCCAGTAAAGAGCTGTGAGGTGATTCTAGTATGCTGCTTCTTGACCAGCAAAATTTGAATCACCTGATTTATATAACAGTCATGATAGCTGTGTCCACCATATGCTAAAGCTGCATTTCATAGACAAAAATGTCACAGTGGATATAATTTCCAGTGAAGTTTGTGCTATCTACTGATCTAATTGCTTCTGACAGCCTAACCATTGTATTCAAGGTCTTTCAAGAAAATTTACTGTACTGAAAGCAATGCAACTAATACAGGAGCTGTGCATACTGTAAGCAGAGAATTTATTAGGAAGATAATTATTTTCTGAAGCAACTGGTTTTAGAAGAAAAAGCACTGTCCATATTCAGTGCTCGCAACTAAAATTTGCGGCTGGTTTCCTGCCTCATGTTACACCCTTTTCCCTCAGAAAAGCTAAAGAGTCACCTTTTTTTTTACATGCACACTGATATTTAACTGAAGAAATTTCCAAAATTTCTAAGTATGTGCTAATCTATTGTGCCTCTGCTTCTCTGCATTAGCTACATGGAATATCGCTGAAGGGATTTAGACCATGGCCACAGTCTGCACTTCATGACCTACAGGAGCTATGCTGCAGCAGCAACCTGGATATTATAGAATCACAGAATAATTCAGGCTGGAAGGGACATCAGAGGGTCTCTAGTCTGACTTCCTGCTCAAAGCAGGGTCAGCTATGAGGTCAGAGCAGGTTCTTCAGTGCTTTATGCAGTCAGGTCTTGAATACCTCCAAGGATCAAGAATGAAAAAATGACAAGTGTTCAAGTGGTGTACAAGATTCTTACATTGCTCCCAGAAATAAAATACACCAGTTAAGTGTTGGAAATATCACTAACCTCTGCGCAAAGGGAGAACAAGGAAGTTCTTTCAGACTGTTCCTCAAGAACAGGAAGGAAGGGAAGAAGGGGTGAGACAAACAGATTCTATGTTTTGGTTTCAATTACATAAGTGATAGGAGACTGAGAGTTATCCACCAATAGCCTGGTAATGAAAGTACACATTTGGTTTTGAGATACAAAATTTCAAATCCAGGTCTAAATCATCAAAACAAGAACCTCCATGCTTGTCTTCTACTTGTGCAATGAATTTCCTAATCATGACTATAAGTTATTATAGGGTGAGCAAACCAGTCTCACACATTTTTAAGGGAAGAACTCTAAAATTTGTATTACTTCCAGGCCACAGAATTGGAACTTCAAACACTCATGAGATTGAAAAAACAGTTCCTTCTTCTTCTTCTCTAAATCTACTTGTTATCCAAGAAACTATCCAACCTGACTTTGAAAATTTGAAACTTTTAGTTTCCTGGTACAATTTAATTCTAGTATTAAATTCCACAATTTTATTGCTAATTCTAAGAAAAAAAAAATTCCATCTTCAAGAAGTTTCCATACTCAAGAAGTTAACATTGCTGCCTCTGATTTTTGGATCATAATTCCTGTTTCCTGATTAGAGTCTAAAGAGGAAAAACTGAATTTAATTTTACTTCTTACAGTCCTTGCGGGGAAACTATCTCTAGATCAGGCTCACAGGGAAACTGCAGAACAAAGCACTATCCTTTCTACACCTACCTTTATAGCAGGGCTTGATCCAGGGGGAATATTTACTGCAGCACCTAATAGGTTTATCAAAGGTAGGACTTTAGCTGCATAAGATGAAAGACCCTTCAGGGATGAGAAGAAGATTGTTTTTACACTGATGGTCTTTGCCAGGGTGCTTATAACTGCTTTGCAGCTGTTTTGCAGAGGCACAGTTGGTGTAAAATGGCCTTTGGCTACCTATGAATCAGTCCCTTACTCTCAGCAAAGACTGAAGGATTTTGTTTAATGTCCTCACATGGGATGAGTACATGTCAAACCATAGGAAGAAATCAGTTTTGAGTTAATTTTAATTGGCTTTTTGAGCAAGACAACATAGGAACTGTAAACAAAACTTAAAATTCTTATTCTTTTTATTTTACTTTTTGGCTTGTACCACTGAGCTTTTTTCCTCTGTGGTTGCAATGTACATAAAGACAGAAGCTTCAGGTATTCTGAAGTGAGTATGAGTTAGCTTTGGCTATATGACAGTAACTGCCCTGGCAAGAAAGCCACAGAGCAGGGCAGGGTGAGAAAGCAATGATTTTTTTTTTTTTTTATATATATATATATATCTATCTATCTTAGGGAAATTTTTAAATGACAAAAAATTCCAGTTTCACATTCATTCATTTTTCCTCTACAAGATGTGCTTTGTGATGTAGCAGAGAAACTACGTGACTGTCCCTTTAAAAGCCATCATACCAATCAGCAGGTTTAACTGTCAAGCAAGCTGATGTAGGGCTCTTTGAATTACTGAGTGAGGGATATTCTTCCTGCCAGGTCCTGTCCCCTGTAGGCACTGCAGAGAAGTATTATAGGGCAGTCCTTACCTTGGGAATTAGCCTGCAAGACCCCAATGCTGTCATCAAACTGCATAGATTTGATGTTGAGTGACGCCAAGATGCATTCCTTGTCCTGCAGCGAAGCATCATCAATATTATTCTGATTGGCTGACAGGATAACGCACATGTCGCAGAGGTTGATGTTGACAGCCCTTAAATCAGCCCGACTTAATGGCGTACCCTTCGGCACAGAGAAAAAAAAAGGGGGGGGGGCAGGAAAGGAAAAAAAAGAAAAACAAATTAAAGATTGAGAAGGAGCTTTGGGAAATTATTTAACAAGTATCTTTTTTATGCTCTGACATTAAGCTGGTCTAACTATGTGCCAGGGAATAGGAGATGTGTGCTAATCTAAAGGGTAGTTGGTGCTGATGGCAGCATTTTAGGTTCAGTCTCAATACTCAGTCAAGCTATTACTAACAAACAAGAAACAGGAATAATGCCAGCATTCTCCCTCTCATCGGTGACTTGAAATTGTCTTGATTTAAGTTGCAACCTCTGGCTCTCTGAATATAACAAGGGGGGTGTTTTAAATGTCTATTTATCTACTACAAAGCCACAATGGTCTTGGGCAGAATAGCAATTTAAACAAGAAAGCATTATGTGTCCTACACATTTGAAATGCAATCAGGATAAAGCTATTTTTTTTCAACCTGAAGCAATACAGAGAAAAGGTTAATCCTTTTTACTGCATGTTTTTGGTTCTTCTAGAAGGAAAACACACTGATCTTCGAAGTTGTGTGTCTAAACCCTTTGAAACAAAACCAAGACTTTATTTTAATAGGCACAACTCATGCAAGAGTCCCTGTTTCCACAGTTCTCAATCAGTGACTGCAATAATTACAATGTTGTGGTAGTCTGTTTCATAGTTCATCGTTAACACAACCGAAACATGACACATGACACTTAACCCATTATGTTTTGTTTAAAGATAACCCTTGCCTTTCACATTTAACATTCCACATCTCTATTTAGAGAATATTAAGTTTATGTCAGAGGGGATGCAGGATCAAGGGAAAAAAGAATACTCTTTTTTTTTTTTTTACGGAAGCTAGATTCTGCTTTGCTGCCCTACATGGTTTGGTATCCAAAGATCCTAATGATGAAGAAGAAACTAAGCTGTCCCCTTGTCACACAGCAACTTTCATAAAACCAAGTCAAGACCCTACTCTTCCATCTCCTGATCACTCATGGTGAACGTCTCCTGAACTCCACTGAGAGTGTTCAATGCAAAAATTAATTTAAAATGCACAAAGTGAAGGCAGAGCTCAGTTCTTTTTCAGTGATTGCCACCTCATTCCAAATACCAGCCTGACTATTCCAGGTTACTTTCAATAATTTTGAGGCATGAAACATTGTGGAAAACAGTATATATCAAACAGATATGACTGAGTTGTAAAGCATTCAAACTCAACTTAGGATATGATTATTACTGCCACCTTAATTCTGCCCTTTGTCTATGTACTGTCAGCATGTGAAGAAAGATTCCTGTGGGGAAAAATAATATGCAACCATGTAATTAATTAAAGACTTACTCCTAATGATTTTATGCAAAAGGACACAATTAAGGCTGCCTGAGGATACTTAAAACTGGCATTTGCCTACTTTTTAAGAATTTAGTCAGCAGCTTAAATGGCACTTTTAATACACTTTAAATAAAATTTCCACCTTTCTTCAGAACAGATGTTTTTATATTCAGCTGTAACCACATCCCCATCAGATAGCAGCAGCAAGTTTTACCTTGTGAACCAAAGCACAGAAAAGTAGGAAATCAGTGTGTGGCCTCCCTTTAACACATGATTACTACCAGTATGAAACTTTAGTAGACTTTTAAATTAGCATAATTAGATCAGAATAATGCTGATATTTTTAACCCTATAGCACCATTCTGAACCAGATAAGCTGGGGGAAAAAAAAAAAAAGCAAAAGCAAGTCTGTGGTCTTCAGGCCTTGGTTACTGTGTAAGATACAATTCCTTTAATTATTCTGTATGTTTAAAGGTGCATCAACTATTTAAGCTGTTTAAGTTGAAATTAGTTCAAAACTATTCTGAATTTGCATGCAAACTCATTGGGGAATGTAAAGGTGGTGTACATTTCCTTAATGCATCTTCAGAATTCAGAATCAAAACTATACAAATACACATTATGTACTTGGCAGCTTGGATTCTATTCTGCTCCACATTTCAACAGCATTATTAATTTAATTCTGATTTCTTAGTCTTTATCCTTCAAATTGACTGGAATTAAAAGGGATTGGCAGGAAGAGGAGGATATTAACTGACCAAATCTGATATTGACACCATTTTTGTGACAGCAGAGAATATTGTGACACCATCTGTTGGATCAGTTTACAGAAAAAAGCCAAGGGCTAACACTAAAACTGCGTTTACAGTAACAAAGACCTACAGCCTGAATTAATCAAAAAGTGAAGGCAGTCTTTCCATTCTATAGCTATTTTCCCACTTAGTCAATTTAGGTTACATCCATCATTGATTTATTTATTTCTAACTTCTGAAATGTAATTATTAAGAACTGGTAAATTTGTATTTTTTCTTTCTGATAAAAACTATCTAACTTCACTCTGTAATGTACAGAGCATCCTCTTTTGTACTTATACTGTGTGCTCATTTCCCTCTTGCCTACATTTCTGTAGATCATTTACAGCTGCAACCACCTAAGATCACTGGCTTGGAGGGCTTCATTTATTTGTCCTGGAGCCCATCTACATTTTGGGCACATGACTGAATGATAATGATATATAGAAGAAAAAGGTCCTCTGAATTGTGGTTTTAGTGGCTGTCCCTACTAAAATCAATAGGATCTTTTCACTGATTTTAAAAGGCTCAGCGTTTTGTCATACTTCCATACTCGAGTATGGCAGTACTCTGAACTGGAATGCTATGGCAATATTCCCTATAAAACATGCCGGCCTAAAGAAAGTTTTTACAAACATAGATAAATATTATTTAGATAGAGAAACAATATTTTTTTCCAAAGGTTTTGTGGGTATAAATACATAAATAATGTCATAAACAACTACTGTCACAACATCAGAACTGGCTACATGCAGTGAACTACAGTGAATGCTCAATATATAACACAGCTAATACATTTGATAGCAGCTGAAATTCATCCGATGAGGATGACAAGGAACCAAACACTGTGGCAAATATCTTTTAATAAGGTCTCACAGGGCTCTGTTTTCACAGACACAGTAAAGGGAAAATCTAAGTCCTCAGGCCTATAAGTAGACAAAAGTAAAAAAGCCTAAGATCAAAGTCAACACGAATCTGTCCAGTTGGTGTCCTAAATAAGAAAATATCAATAATATGGCTTTGGACTTACAGGCAAGATTGAAACCTTGGGGAAGTTATGCAGTGTTTCCCATTCCCTTCTCAGGTATTCAAGTGAACCCACAAACACAATATGCTTGAGTTCATGGTAGTGAAAGTTGCTGGCTCGTAATGGCATCACTAAATTTCTTAATCCAATCAAAGCGGACTTAACATCCCCAAATATGCAAACGACTACATGCCCACTTAAAACTGTCATCGCTGCTTCACTTCGAGTCTAAAAAAACAAAAACAAAAACAAAAAGACAAGGGAAAAAATGAAACAAAGGGAAGCTTAAATCATATATTGAGTTTTAAAACAGAAAAAACCCACAGCTGTCAATATCATTCATGCACAAAGAAGTGGTTTAATAATAGCTGTTCATTTTGTCCTTATTTATCCTTCATTAAATGTTCTCAGCAGAAGAAAATTTTGTTCTTGTTTGCAAATCCTTCATTGTTCAAGAAGATGTTGTACTGCACCAAATTCTGGTCCTATATATGTTTCTACATATGTGGATTAAGACTCTCATTGCAATTGAAGTACTCTGGATTTAGCCAGGAACAGAATTTGACCTACTATGCATTTAGCCACTAGAAGGATTACAGAAAAGAGATGCAAAACCATGCCTTAGCTGATGAATCCCTGGGGGTTTTTCTTTCAGGACCAAGTTGACAAGCAAAATGTGAGTGCCTAAAGATCTTTGTAGGGATTTGTGGTATTACACATATCTTGTGAATGGAGGACCATATTCTCTTAGTCAAAGTTCTTATTTTAGAACAAGCTGTGACTACCCTGAGAAGCAGTCAAAGAATGCTCAACAGTGCTCTGCTTTACCATGGAAGTCCTCCATACTGAACTTCTCTCAGTAAGAAAAAGCTAGTGTGAAAGATTGTGATTAATACTAACTTTTCAGGTCTACTGGACTTCCTGAGTTACTGAATAGACAGAAGGAAAAAAAAATCTCATGGAGAATATTTGAATGATGTTCAGAATTATCTTCTTGTCTCAGTGACAAGAATAAATTTTTGCACTAATTTCATCAGTGGTAATGTCAGTTGAGCAGGCAAACTCAAACACCAGGATGTTGAAATAAAGTTATTCGGAAAAAATTACCTTCATTTCTGGAGTCAGTCTTATCATTTTTGCACTCCACCAAGTAGCTGCAGATCCACTGACAATAAATTGCCAAGAAGTTGTACACTCAGTACCATTACACAGAAGCCTTGCCAATGAAAAAGAACTAAACCAATGGTGAACTGCAAAATTTTTCCCTCACTTGTCCTTTTTCTAAATTATGGAAGCATGACGACGTGCAATAAAGATTGGAATATTCAGCAGAGGTGTTCACTATGTAAGAAGAATGGGAACTGATTAGAAGTTTTCTCATCAGTTAAAAAATACATCAGCTTTCTATTTCCCTGGGGCAATTGCACTGATTTATTCCAAGTCTACCAAGAAAGTGGTCTTGGCCCTTTAAAGAGCAGAAGACGTGAGTGAATGCTCAAGTGAAGCATGTAAGTTGTCCCATGCCTCTGCCTACTGGTCTGGTATACTCACACTTTACAAGACAGACACCAAGTCTTGAAAGAAATTATGTAAAAAAAATGTCACTCTGTAGTCATTGATCTTTATGTAGCCACATAGAGTTGATGGTGTGTCAAAACAACTTACTACCTGACACTGCTGGAATCACAAAGGGCCAAAATAGACCTTCAGCAGAAAAAGGAATTATTTTCAGATTGAAGCATTATCGATTATCAATTAGAAGACAAGCTGGGAAATACCATAGTCTTCAAATTATGTAATAAATTGTGTGGTCTGTAAGGACAGCATTAAATTTGCATGGATATGAATGTAGACATAAATTGTGAACTGTGAATTTGAAAAGGTGTATAGAAGCATTTTGCTTGGCAGTGTCTTTATTGGTAATGATGCATGAAGCAGAAAGAACTTGGCCAGACTTATAGATTCATGGGCTAGGGAAAAAACTGACATAGCATCACCGAGAGGTGATACATGAGGCACTCCACAACACCATTTTTTGAGAAACACTTTTCAAAGTGGGACAACACATAAAGTTTGTTGACTAAAATGTGCTTAGAGCATGAAGGCAGATATCAATCTCTGTCTATTGCAAAGTACTGTGTAACAGGGCTGCCTCTCCTTGCCTCTTGATTACACAGAATCATAGAACGGTTTGGGTTGGAAATTACCTTAAGATCATCTAGTTCCAACCCCCCTGCCCTCTCACTAGACCAGGTTGCTCAAGGCCCTGCTCAACCTGGCCTTGAACACTGCCAGGGATGAAGCATTCACAAATACATATAAATGCATACTATTTAAAGCTGTTCAGTCAAACTATGTGTCACAGCTCAGTCTCTAGAATTTCAAATTTACTTGCTTGACTGTTTAAACAACAATACTGCAATTGCAGGCAATGTCACGGTTATTACAGAAACTCCTGAGGAGAAGTGGAGACAAGCTTTTAACCTGTGATTGCTAGAATAAACTGGGGCTGTCACCATCGGCGGCTACACCATGCCACAGTGCAGGAAAATCTAAGACAGCAGGCTTTATGAACTGTGACAAAGTGAAGACCCACCAGGGAGTTCATTTCAAATATCATCAGTTTTCTGTATGAGATCTGGAGTTAGTTAGTTGCTACTCTTAGGTATGAGTACATGAACACAAGTGGCACAAACTTTAAGCAAGTAAAATAGACTGTGATAGGCCTTCTAACTATTTGTAATGACTTGAGTCAGTTTGATGGTTTCCCTAGTTAAACAAATGAAACAAACATAGACCAGGCTTGCCGTGCCATGCTAGAAAGGCAGAGCAGTAGCACTACTTACTCTAGCCTATTTGGGCACCTTGAAATGCTGGAAATTGAGTTTCTAAGAGAGTGAAGTTCATATCAACATATAAGAGACAATGCAAAGCAACACTTGCCTATATTAGAGTCATTATTGCTTTGTGTAAGGAGATACATGGGGTATGCAAACATTTCAGTATTTCCAATCTTAATCTTCTAAAGATTTAAATATACAAATTTCAGTTTATGAGAAAGAAATTCTCTATTTTGGACCAATTTTTATTGTTGCTTTTGGCATACAGATTTATATAATGATAATTCTTTAACCAAAATGCTAGCTTTGGTTTTACCATGCTTTGCTTCTGATTTCAATATGCTGGATTTAATGATAGTAGAGATTAATTTATTAATCCATTAGACAACAGTTCCGTGGTTCAAACAACCTCTTTTCAAACACAGCTTATCATCAGTACCTACCAAAATGACCTTTTCAATGTCCTTGGCTGGACACCAATGAAACATCCCTGTAGAGTCATATTTTTTCACATTGGCATCCATGTTGTCAATCTGCTCATTGCCAGGAATTAACAAGGGGTCATGCCTGGGGAAAAACAAGTTGAGGACAACATAAGTGGAAAATATTATGAATTATAGATGGAAAGATATCCCAAGAGCTGTGTACAAAAAGGGGTAAAAGTAAAAAAAATGAAATGTATTTACACTTGAATATGCTTTCAAAGAGGGTACTTTTAAACAAAAGATGAAAATAAAATAGAAGTTAATTTTTACATTTTGGGTGCAGTTTAGAGGATTTTCTATACTCTTCCTATAGCAAAAAACATTTAATTTTAAGCAGGACTTTCTGACACCATCACAGCCACGAAAGACTTTTTTTCTTACCACTCCCACCCCTCCGAAATATGTATCAGAGTTGCCATAGGCATCTGCAATGAAGTAGAAGGGATAGGAACAGAGCCCCATGCTGACTGACTGGCATAAGTATGGAAAGCCAATTACTTGCTTTTACCACATACAACTTCTGACATGATGCTCTTCGCAGTAAAAGCTTTAACAGGCTGCACTTTAAATATTTTAGCAATTTGCCCAATCATATTTTGCTTTCCCAAACTGAAGCCCTTTAAAGATTCAACAGTATGTCATTTTAGAGCAGACTGACTAACAAATGCCCACATCTGGAATACATGATTTTAATACTAAACAACAATGTCTGTTTTCTCTGACAACTCTACCTGTGATAACCTTCGAAGTGTTTTTTGCAGCAAGATTTTACAGGACAAAGCTTCTCAATGGAGAAGCAAATAAAAGACTTTTTTATAAACTTGCTCTCCAGCTATATAATTACATCTAAGCACAGACACATATATACAGTTCTTTAATTTATATGCTAAAATGTAGCATCAAGCTAAGTCCTAAGTGACGCCAACACTCTCGGGTGTTACTGAGGACCCATCAGTGACTGCATTGTACAATACCACTAGAAGAAGGACAGTATTTAAAAAGCACAGGATAAACTGATACTAAAATCTTAAAATTCAAGATGGGAAAAGAGCTTTCATTTCAAAGACGAAAATATTTGCAGTGTAGGAATATACTAAGTACTCTGAAACAGGTATCCAAATTTTAAAGCAGTTTGCCTTTTAAAGCCAAAGAAAGGCATAATCTCTAATTCCATCAAGGTGATTAATCTGTGTAATTTTATAGCCACTGACTGTATATCCATTGAAAACAGTTGAAAATTCTCATTCATTTCACTCAGTGTCAACTCCACAGAAAGTGGCTTAAAAGAAGTTGAGAAACTACTACTAATACAATGTTCCATTTAAACCAAAATCTTTTTATGCTTTAGGAAAAAGCACTACACTACATGGCAAATGCATGTTCAGTAAGATACAGTTCAGTGCATTTCACTATCAACCCATTGGCCACAGAAAAGCCTCAAGGGGACAATCCCAGGTTTAATAATGAAAGTCCATGCATTTTTACTTTCCAGAAAAATATCTAGATTCTGCATTCTCTTATTCTATTCATCGGTAAGCTGCAGCCATGGTACTTTTGGCTGAGAGATAACTGTGATGTTCATAGGGCATTTCTTGATGCTTATAGTTGCATGCGATACAGTAAGATCTGCAACCATGGATACAATTCCATTTGAAGGTTGTACTAATAACATTCAGACAACATTTAGTGGTGCTCTGTCCTAGCTATTTTTCCTGATGCAATATGTTGGCCATGAGTTTCAAAATCAGAAAGTTTGCCAAAAGGTCAGGAAACTTCAGGAGCTTCCACCGAAAAATGTTTTTCTTTCTGGTGTTTTTGTAGTTTTGTGTTTTTTTTCCTAAAGCTTTCACAAGACATTTCTCCACAAGTGTTTTTAGCAGAGCACTGAAAAAAAAAAGCAAAGTTCAGTGATCAGATCACCTTTCTTTTCTTCTGTGAGATTTAAAACTACATAGATCATCTGAAGCTTTCACATAAATGAGTATTTACCAATAGTCTAATCCCAGTCACAGAATTGATACAATTTGAATGGAGTCTTATAACAAAGGTGATAACAGATATCTGTTATCAAATTCTGGTCAAGTGCCTTGAGATCTCAGGCAACTTTTAGTGTGTGAGTGCTTGAAGTCTAGTGTAGATCTCTTTTGGTTAAGGGCCTTGCATCCTAAAAGGGAATATTCAAAACAGCTTGTGCCAAAGGTTTATTAGAAATTTACCTCAATGTTATATTTTCCAGTTATTTTAGGTTTAAATGGAAGTGTGCTATAGAAGGAATGAAGAATGTGAATCATCAGATATAACTCCCTATTGAAATTTTATGTAAAAAATTAATTTTTTTTTTTTTTAATCAATGCATGCACTGATTTGCAATATAATAACCTGGATCCTCTGCTTCACTCTTGGAATACAGGAAGTCTCAGCCTTAAAAGAAGCAAACAGGATGGGTCACATAGCAAGTAAGCAAGCTAATAGACAATACTGCAGCACTTTTATTCTAGGAGAATGGATTATTGCCAGAGAAAGAAACCGTGATGAGATTAGCCATGCTTTCTGTTTCAGTCTGGGTTTTTTTTTACATATGTTTTTGTTTACATATGTGTTTACATAGCATCTGTTTTTGTTTACATAGGTGTTTTTAAATTTAAATCTTCTGGGATAAGCTACTATTTTAGCCTCTTTTTAATCTGTGATTTTTCATTCTCAGTAAAGCAATCCCTGAAGATGTCTATGGAGATTGAAAACTCTTTACCACTAAGGTCCAACTTTGCCCTCAAACGTTAGAAGAAATACTGGCTTACATACTTAACTGGATTCATCTTTGGAGTTTTTAGGGTTTCTTTTTAAACATGGTTATTTTATGAAGTAATACAGTAATAAAACAGCATGACCAGTTTGGACGCATACGCTCTCATTAATCTGATGATCTAACCTGTTTTGCAAATACTAACAATTAATTAAGACAGACACACAGAGGCCAAGGCTGTCAAATCTGCCTAAGGGGTTTGGACACCCTCTTCCCATTAAAATTTATATTGCACAAAGCATTACAGTTGTTGCCCTTAGAGCCAAATCGCTGACTGATTCTTTCTAGAGCCTCTCTGCCCCCTCCCCCTTCAAGATGGCCCTGTCAAGCCATGCTTGAGTCACATTGGCAGTTTACTGTGGAAATGCTTGTATTAGAGCTGCAGCTATTATATTCTCCAGGGCTGTAAAGTCATATGTTTGAAAAATTCAAATTATAGGAAGAAAATCACCTGCTATCAATTAAAATGCATAGTGGGTGTTTAGGTTTTTGTTTGTTTGTTTGTTTTTTTAAATTGAGATATTGGCTTTTATGGCTTGCAATCTCCAAAGCATTTGGTTATTCCAGTTAGGGAAAGACATGCATGTATAGCATGCATGGGAGAAAAGGAGTAAAAGTTAAATTTCCCTTATCCATAACCCCAGTTTAAAAATAGCTTCTCTGGTTCTTATGGCACATATTACATACGCATGACTTGAAATGAAGAGCAAAATACGATCTTTTCTAGGTTTTGAAGAGCATATAATGCCACTTATGAGCAATTAAACTTGAAAATGATGCTAAATGCCATGCTACAGCTACAACCCCAAAAAGCCTGCCTGGAAGACAACAGCCTAAAGCAAAACCAGAAATCTCACTTCCAGCAAATCTATTGCTAGTATGTCAACATTACATTTTAAAGAGCACTGCTTTCCTAGCACACATTTATAACTACTGCAAACTTACTTGGACTTTCTGAGTCTGGAACTTCCAAGTAATGATTGGAGATGGACAGAACTGAAAAGACCATTCAGGCCAAATGCCTGCCTCATAAATTACTATTGTTTAGCATACCCTTGTATGCTGTCCCCTTGTCTTCATCTTCTTTATCATTCATATGCAATTGAGTGTGTCTTCATTATACCCTCACTCATGTGCAGTGGAATTATTCCATATGCTGAGCACCGGGAATAAAAACACTACATGACCAGTAGGGACCCTGGTGTTCTTTGAAAATGAACTGTAATCTGTTAGTCTTTGCACATCAGTAAAGCAATATCTTGGCTACATTTTAGTCTGCCCTTCAATAAAATTCTCCTTATATAAAATCAATGGCAAAACACTCCTGGGAACAACACAACTCTTCTTTAAGCTGTGGTCATTAAAGTCTGCCCTTATGCCTTTCTCAGATAAGTATAATATATCTGGATTTGGCCCCAGAAAAACATGTTTAGGAGTCTCCTGCTCAAGATTCAATGTCTTTAAACTCATGTTGTGTACAGTACAGGAATTTTGAGTTTTCCTACCTGACTTTGGGTGTGGATGTGTGTTTGCAAGTGTATGCACACACTTGATTTTAGGAGTAAGGCGTGGGTTTGCTGAAGGTAAGTTACGAATTGAAGACACACTAGAGAATGTCTTATGCCTTTGAAGTTTCTCCTACAACTACCCTAACAAATTGTGGCAATTAACATGCTGTTAGAGTTAGATGTATGCAGCCAGTGCAGGTGCTAATAATTGAAAAAGCATTTAGAGCTTTTACACCCTGGCTGAATATTTCATGATGTGCTGCATGTTTCACTATTTACTCAGTGGGCCTCTGTCACTTCAATCTTCTCTGACTGCTTTGACTGGTGCTATAAAGCTCAACCGAGATAGAGTGACGGCTTGTCACAGGCAAACTCCACTGACTCCAGCAGGGGACTAGCTGTGAAGGTTGTCACGACATTCTGATGGAATTCAGCAAATGTTTTGTGACTAATACACCCAACATTTGTCGGCTACCATTAGCCATTCCCTGTGACCCTCTGCAGTCTGTCTGGATGGCATTAAGTTGTAATGAGAATTTGTTGCCTATGTGTGTTACACTAATGACACTCTTACTGATCTTTCCTTTCACAGGTTAATCAGCAGTGAAATGTATAAGGATTCAGTGCCCAGATGCACCGAGCTTTAGAGAAGAAAATGCAGTATGACAAGAGAAAGAAAACCTGCAGTTTACTGTTATATTCTTTCATGTCATATTCAGAGGCTATCCTAATATTATCTATAATCTCACACTGTCTGACTTTTTCTCTAAA